TGTAAGGACCTTCACTCGTTTTAATTGCATTGCAGCCAAAACCCCGATTGCTCTCCGTTTTTTTGGCTGTGCATTAGAAAGTTTTGCTTGGGTTGTGCTTGGATTCGTGGCTGCTCTTAAACTTTAATTAAGTTTTCAGCTTCTTATTAGAAAAAGAGTTTTTGTGCTACTCATGAAGTAGAGCGAACAAATCTACTAAATGTTCTTTAGTTAGCTCGTCTTAGACTTCGATAATGTTTTGGCATATGTCATTGCAATTTTTTAGCCGCTTTGCAATATAATTTTGTTATGTTATTTTTGTGGGTCTGCCATAATAGTTCAAAGTAGTGTACCTAACACGTACAGTCGTTACTTGTGACCCCCTTAAACTTAAAGATATTTTGATGTGATACTGTGCGTACTGTGCGCCAAGTTTGTCCAATTATAATATATATAAATGATGACAAACGCACGAAGACAACACCACCCCACTGGGTGGAGGTGCTCAAGCTGAAATATGAGAGACACGCTGGGCATCGAAATCCCGGAGGCGGCGGAAGGAAAAGTTTTATCAACCCCACTCCCCGAACCCCTCGAAGTGGCAATGGCAATAAACACAGGCGTAATCATTAATCATGCGCGATCAAAGTCAAAGATACAAAAAACAGACACACACACGCACTGTGTGCTCACACACTGAAACCCCACTGGCACACTAACACTTGCACACGCGGTTGTTCAATCAAGTGTACACTTGGAAAAATGTGAACCGTATTTGTGATTTGTATGCTCCCAAAGGTTCCAAGTACTGTAAATAAATTTGGGGATTATATTGATGCTTACCGAGTTTATTTAACACGATATTAATAAAAAATCTCTAAAGTTCATATTTGTTCTCTGCACAGTTGTTCGAAAAACACGCCTCGATTTTTTGTAGGCCAGGTTGTGGATGCTTTAATCAATTTCGAACAACAAACACAGAACACTTGAAGGCTCATCGTTCAAAGAGCACAATGTTCTTGGGCCAATATTATTGTATATAAATATTTAATAAAGGAGAAAAATAATAGATCAGCGGGCTTGAATGGGAAGGCGGGGTTTTTAGGGCTATAACATTTTGTATTTTTATATACTATGGATAAAGCGGCGATAAACATGGCACGCAAATGATAAAAAATAGGCGGTCGGAATTTATGAGTTTCCGTTGCATCCAGGCCACTGCCTCGCACAAATTCAGAATATGATAATTATGATAATAAGTTAAGTGCAAAAATTAAGATAATTGGCCGACGAAAGAGCTGCGCCCTTGCGTTCAGTGCATTCTCCAGAGAACGAGAGCGAAAACGAGAATTAGCAAGTGCGAATGAGATTGCTCATCCGCCACGTTCGCCAGCTAGCTAGCTATAAAAATATTGCAATGCAGATTTGCAAGGAAATGCACATTACACGGCCATATTTATGGCTTATGGCTTAACTGCAGATAATTTATAAAATGTTTACCCGAGCAAATTAGAGGCAGCTAAAGACCTGTGGAATAGGCATTGGAGCCAAGTTGGTATACAAAGTGGAAAGGTATTAAAAGGCTTTTTATTTTATTGAAATGCCTCGGATCGATTTTGAAACGTAAATATAAAAGTTCAATGGAGCCAATTTAATTGTTGTGCGTTCGCATTTAATTTTATTTAATGTATACTACTGAAATGCTATATAAAAAATGCCAATAGGCTTCTGAACCTTCTTAAATTTAAACTAATACGCCTTGGATACTTTATAAAGTATTTCGTATTCCGTATGCGGTGCACATTTCCCAAATTCATAAACGAACTGGAACGTAATCTTTATACGAATTTAAGCAGCCTGCAAAACGGTTTGTTTATTTATTTCCATTTCGTTTTATTTTTTCACCGCCGCTGCACTAAACTGAAGCACCCCTTTCGGCATTTGCAAAAGCGTAAACAAACCCCCTTGTTTTTCTAAAAAAAGCAAAATGAAAAGCAACAAGCGAACACACGACCCGCCAAGCAAAGCCAAAAAAAAGAACTGAGCCCATCCAAAACCCAGTGAAATGCGGCGGAACAACAATGGATCTCTGTATATTTATTTATGAGTAGTTTCTGCGAGTGCCCCCGCCTTTCTCTGTTTTTTTATGGACAGGGGTCAAACGCGCGGTCGCCGTTTGTAGTCGTGTGTTTGCACAGGCGAAATTCCACAAGTGTCCACAATGAAAACGAGACTGAGGTGAAAATGACAATGAATTTGAGTTGGACTTGAGTCTATCAGTGGCTTTATTGTGTGCCACATCTAAGGTCTTGGAGCAAGGCTAAATAGACAAGATATTCCTTGCGTTTGTAGACTCTAAAAATTATATTGGAACTGGTGTACAGCGAATTGGAACACTTTATGATCCAATACAACGAATGCACGTTTTTACACCTATCTATCCATGTCATATTATATAATATGCTGACTATATAGGCAGAGGCAGATGGCATTGAACGGAATTAAACTATAGGGTATAAAAGGTAATAAGTCCTTTCATTAAACACAATTTTGGGAACATGTGCTGATTCCACTTCTTTATCCGCAGACAGCATTATATAGCAATAATCATAAAGTTCAACGTTTGCTTACAATAATTGTGTATTTTCATTTTCATATCTGCAAGCGATTTCCGTTGAAATGAAACAGATATAAGAGCGTATTTAACAGTGTTCTTGGTAAATCTATGGGGAAAATTCCGATTTATCTCTGCTTTGGCTTACAACAATGGTCGATTTCTTGGAACCAGCTTATATTTGTGCTTCCTCCACTTCAAATTAAACGGACACACTTTAACTTGGCCAAAAGGTGCAGCTGTAAGCGGCAAGCTAAGACGCAGCGCAATTCTGAGTAGCAAAACTTTTAGCAACTTGAATGAACAACGGTGGCACCAAAGTGTAGCTACTTTGGTAGGTTTACAGAAGCTGCGGAAACTTTCTTTCTATTCCGAAAGACAGAGGATGGAGCAGAGTGTCGCATGCCTTCGGGATATGCGAGAACTTCAAGCGACTTGACATACTGACATTTATTACACAGTACACTTTTGTCTAGCAATTTACTTGAATTAAAGTATCATCCTTTGAAACAAATACCCCGCACCCTACCTTTAAACAATTAACAAGCTGGAATACTTTTATTTTAATGTCAGTTTTGTAATAATATTCTGTGACTTCTAAAATCTACTCCCTGTAGCAATGACTTTATCCTTTTTTATGGTTTTTAAAGGTACTTCCCAACTTTCCTGGTAGTGTATTGTTATCATCTCTGGCGGGGCACAAGAAAAAGTAACTTTTGTTGCGTTCTCAAATGTGTTGGCTGAGAACTTTTCTAATTGCTGCATAGACACTTTGAAGCGAAGCCCACAAAAGCAGAACATATTTACATACTGAGCAATATGTTTTCTTTGTACAAACAACTGGCAACAAAGTGGCCGGGAAATACGTTCGGAAAAAGCTGCATCTGGAGCAACATCAAACAAAGTGAACAATAAGTTCCAAACTGACACTTGTACCTACTCTCTGAGCAATCCTTTAGTTTACTTTGCTAGCCATGAGGTATTTTTATTTCTGCATTTAAGTTACCAATATATCTCAAATCTTACTTCAAAATCAGCAACATATAAAATGGTAATTCTGCAGAGATGGGTATTTTATTTGCTTGTTGATACTGAATTTCAATTAATCATACATTTATTTTAATATGCACTGATGTATGTGTGTAAATAAAAAATATATGTGCCACAAGCGCAATTGCAATTATTTATTGAGAAGAGCTCTCGAACTAAACCATTACTGCCGTTTTCCGTTTCGCTTCAGTTGGATTTCTCCATTTCCGGGAGGAAGGAAGGAAGTCAGCAACAAGTGTTGGGTCCCAAGGAGCAGACATCGCAAGGACTCTCGTCCGGGTGAGGCAATCAGGACGCGCAGCTGGCGGCTGTGAGGAGTGCCACTAGCTACACGCCCCCGATTTTCGCCATGGTAAATCGCAATGCGGAAGCTGCGAGATCGGAAAATGGCACAAATGCAACAGCGAATCTGATTGTTAAGGCCCAAGGAAATGCATCGCAACCCAAGACGATGACGATGACGATGACGACTTCGGCGGCCAGGATGAATGAGGGCCTTTCGGCATCTTTGGCCGAATTGAGCGAGCAGGAAAATGGTACCACGGGTGAGTGTGAAGTCCTTGTTAATCCCTGAATGGGAAAGCTGCTTCAAATCTGATTAGTTTCACGAAGAGAGCCTTTTGTATATATATAGTACCTTGTGTACGGTGGAAGCTGAAACATTAGAACCAGCTCTTCTGAAATACCAACTAACCACATTTGTTTTGAGCTTTAAGATGCCTTGGTAGCTGAACAGCAGTTTTTGGCAATATTAAATGTACGGTTTTATATACCATATAAATATTATTCGGTTTTTAATTGAATATATAGTCACTGCAAGGTGATTTTCTTCTTATAAGATTTATTTGTAGTTAAATAATACAAATATTTACTACATTTATGTGTTAGAGTTAGGAATCAACCTAGTTTTTGGTGTCGAATCGTACAGCACTTGACATGAAAGCCGAATATTATTTATTACAACTTTCTTTGGGCTTCCGGTGCAACTTACCGAGTGGCGCATGTATTTTAATTTTCTATTAAATGAGCCGCCGGCTCGGTTGCCATTCATCTTTTGGCCAGCTCATGGCCATGTTCGCTGTTCGCTGTTCGCTGGTTGCCTTGGTTTGCTCTTTAAACTGAATGCCCAACCCTCCAGTTTTGTCCCCTGGCTGGCTGATGTAACCCCGTGGGCTACTTAATTTGGGCTTGTCACGATAGCATCAGGGTCCCCCATTTCCATTTCCATGTCCATTTTCCATTTCCATTTCCACGTACAGTATCCAGCGACGGCTGCTTTCCTTGGCCCATCGCGCGTTTGTTGTTTTAATTAAATTTACCCGGCTCTGGGCACAGTTCATAATGATAAGAATGATAATGACGGCCAGACAGTTACTTTCACTATTAATTTTTGATTAACTCGCGTCCCTTGAGTGGGTTAAGTTTGAATGATTGTAGGCTCTAGGATTAATTAAGTAATTTTCCATTGAAGGGCAAATATGGATTTTAGTTCTGTATGTAATTGCTGCCGATCAGCAGCAATGAAAGTTCCATTATAAGTTTCTGTGGATAATTTGAGCTCCGTTCACTTCCTGACGTTCTTTGACAATAATACTTGCATCGATTGCACACGGCTTTGTCCACAAAGTACTTTTCATTAACTAGGATTGTACATCCCAAGTTCGGCGACCAGAAACAGCAAAATTCTTTAATGGAATCTACAGTGATAAATGCCTATAAAGTGACAAAGAAATACTTTTCAGGCCACGACTTACATTTTACCTCAAAACCGTTTGGTACACATTCAGAAAACGCACTTTCCCTTTCGAGTGCATATTTTAAAATTGAGTCCTGGTCATCCTTATGACAATGGTAGCCAATGGCATTGCCATTGTTGTTACTAATTTGCGAGCAACATCCACAATCGTAGTGATCATGACCAGCCGCTTAAAATACAATAAATAATGGTGTAGTACTTAGTGTTTTACCAAAATTGTGGGTACTTACAATGATTGTGATAACAATTCTCTTCTAAAGTTATTCGGCAAAGTAAAAAAAACACTAAAAGCTGTATTAGCATTCTCATAAAAGATATTTTTAAAGAATGTGTATTACATTTTTCGAAAGCTGTGTCATTGTCAACTTGGATAAAGTGTGAAGTGAAAATATGGCTTTTAAGCTGGCCAGCAGATGGTCTATTACTGATTTTCAGTTAACGCATACTCATTAAATCACATACTAAAGAGGGTATCTGATATGTAGTCGACCATAACTATGGGCACACTTTTATTTCCAGTTATGGTTAATTTTATAGGTCCAAAAATAAAAAGTTTGTACAAATGGCTATCCCAATACTACAGTGCATTGAGTTTATCCTGACATATGCAGAGTACCAGAACAGCCAGCAAAACTAAGGATCCATGGGCCGAGGCCAAATTACTGCCATCAGCAGGATCATCGATATAGGTTTTCTTTACTCCACTGCAAAATTGCTTGCATGTCTTGCAGCTATATATTTTGCTATCGTAGAATTTCCTTCCGATTACCACAGAGCATCCCATTTCCGGTGACCGGAAGCAGCAAAATCTTTGTATTTTCCCTATTGTGCGATAGTAGTAAGCATTGCATTTCTCAATTTATTAGGGACTCACGAGTTATAGCAAACTGGTCCGGCAGGCAATCCGCATACCTATTTCGCAACTCCCCAACTCCTTCCTCAACCGACAAGTCATCTTCGTAGTGGCAATAGAAATCAGTGCTGGTACGGATGGTATTTTCACTTGTGCAATTTGCGCAAATCGGAAATGCAATTTCATGATCAGCTATGTAGTCCAAATAAAATGCGTTCAAATTGAATACAAATTTAGTAAATAATTTACCTGAGGAGTACGGCTTTGTGGAAGTAAATAAATTTTTAAGGTTAATCGAGTTCCCGCATTTGAAACCCAAACAAATGTAAATTAGTAATACAAAAAATTTCATTTCATAATTTATATATGAACTGAGTAACTCCGTCCATTTGACACTTTGATCATCGCCTAATTTGCTTGCCTAAGGTTTGAAAAAGTTAGTTTTTTAATTAACTGAATATTTAGTGGTGGGTAATGGTTTGGTTTCCGTCTCACTAAAAGGAATTGATTTATTTATAAATATTATAACACAAAATTTGATACAATCCCAGTCCTTAGGCTTAGTGATCCGCCTTACCAAATCCACAGTTCGCAAAACAGCAGTGCTAATATGTATCCATATTCCGGTATCTCATTGTTTACGCCTGACTTTTCGTCGTCAGAATGTTTCCATTTGGAACAAGATCCTCTGCAAGTATCGCAATAATCGGAGCTTTTATCGAACAGATTCCTTCCGATGAGAGCTGAACATCCCGATGTCGGCGACCAAAAGCAACAATAGTTTTCTACTTCTCCTGTAATTGGGAGGATGATATTTTGGACCTATATCTAGGTTCTGACTCTTAAACGAACCATGAATAATGTAGTCCTTTGGTACACAATGCGCATACTCATCATCTGTCTGTCCAAACTTATTCTCAACCTGTCTTTCATCTTCGAAGTGGCATGTAAACCCTGTATTTATATGCACGTTCTTTATGTTTTCACAATTTCCACAAATAGGAAAGCGTTGTTTATGGTCAGCTGTGTGAGAAAAAAATTTTAAAACTCGAATCCAATTTCTAACTTTGTTTACAATTACCTACATCGTAAGTCTGCCTAAGGCCCTTCTGATATGTTGCATTTATCGAAATGGTGCCTTCGCTGACCACAGAAATGGAAAGTATTACTAACACTAATTTCATTTTTATTATTTTTGGAAAAAACATGAATAACATTTTGTTCGATGCCTACTTGATGACAACCAACAAAAATCTACTTAAATTAATAATTGAATCTTACTGCTTTACCAATTTTGCTATACTCTTAAGCTTCCTGCCGTCGTTGCCTTATTAAAAAATAACACGATATGACAATCCAAAGGAAGTATGTCGTTATAACTAAGTGAAGAGCTTTATGAAAAACCATACAGGAACTCTATTATGAAGTTGAACTCACCACAAATACAGATTATAATAATCCAGTAAAGAATTGAGTACGTTAATCCGAAGCTCACGTACGTATTTGTTTTCAGTGCACAAGTAACTGAGGTATAAATGATTATGGAGATCAAGTAAACTGCCTCGATAATTATGTAGCTCCAAATTGGTAGGGGAGACCACTGCAAATTACCAATAATTTCAAATACATAAATTATAATAATCAATGCAAATTCATTAATACCAAAAGCAATGAGTAAGATAAACACAGGGATGCCAGCATATGGAAAATTCCCCAAAGAAGGTTAAACCAGTCTGGAATTGAGCCAAAAATACAAAACTTAAGTAAATTTATTTATATCCATATTTAGTTTTTTACCCGACGTTTGACCAGGGCTATAAGGATCCTTCAATCCTGCAAGATTTTATTTATTTACATTTTTTATTTAATAAAGCTGGAAAATTTCTCAAAAGTTATTTACGAAAAAACTCCACCAAGTGTGCGGCACAAAGGAAAAGCGTAAGAAAAGCTATTATTGTGCAGCCAATTCGTAGTTTCATACAAAAACAGAATTTTTCGGCTCGCCACATTTCATAAACGATTGTTTTTATTTACACAATATTTTTTAACCGCTTAGTATGTATTGCTTGGGAAAATGACGATAAATCCAATGCTACTCAGTATCTCAGTTGCAGTTGTGAATAAAAAATGTCTTAATAGAAAGTTTTAAAATTATTCCCTTTGTTAGTTAAAGTTAGTTAGTGAAAGTATCACTCCAGTCCCTCCACAATATTTTCAGTTTCTCTTGCTGTTATTTGACGGTAGTATGAATATATTATATACATGAAATACGCTGTCAGTGCTTAAATAAAAAAGGTTATTAATTTTTTTGTTTTATTATACAATGTAACATACCTAGCCAAAAGAGAACGTAAATCCAATAGGTTAAATTGTGCCAAATACTCTCATTTATGATTAAATTCGAACCGATTAATGCTGAAATAATGCTGATAATAACAAAGTAGACTGCCTGAAATGCTTGAACCAACAGAGTTGTCCAAAACAGCCAGCAATATTGCTAAATCCATTACTTCTTGAAAACTGGCTATATTTTAATTAGATACATACCGATAAGATTGCGAATATTAGTATGCACGATGCCAAGATGGTTAACAAATCCGGTATCATTTGTAAGAAAGTGTAGAGAAGTCGTTCTAGATAGTCAAAAAATATATAACAAATGGAATGGATTCGTCGAAAATATTTAGTCAATATTACCTGGGAACTTATGGTGCGTTTCTCGGAAATAAGTTCCTGTCCAAACATTAGAATTAGTCTACACACATATTTGAAAACTTAATATTTAACAATGTATAAAAATATTTACTATTTAAACCAAGCAGCATATAGTCTATGTTCATGCCAGCCAAAAATATTCCAATCAATGCAATCAGTATACATCCCTTTTGCAAAGTTATACAGAAGCAGAATTTGTTAGCCAAAATCATAATTTTAGACGTTTTGACAGGAAATGCAAATATGTTATTCTGAATAATATTCGTATTTGATCGAAAAAATTACAATTTTTTATAGTTTTGTTTACTTTTGTTTGCCATTTCTACTGATAGTTTATAAAATTATTAAATTTCTCGGTCTCACTTCCAATATCTGAGTAACGGGTATCTGATAGTCGGGAAACTCTTTCTTGTTAAATTTTCAAACATTCCTTCGTTATTTTCTAAAAGAAAGTTTTTTATGAATCGTATACGACATACGTAATTTATTTACATAGCAGAACTTTTAGCCAATATTATTATGAGCACGCCCAGATGTTGGCGCCAATTTTAAACGAAATTACCTTCTCATTTTCCGCAATATCCTCTTGATTGTGGCGTGGGAAGTATTAACTTTTTTGCATAATTACAATTTCAGCAATTTGTATTATGGCCTCATTAGCATTACCCTAGAATTTCCAACTTGATGTGTGTGTCGTGTTTCTCAGGCACGCGTGGAATCGTTTTCAGTTCTCATCAAGATGCTAATGAAATTATAAAGAAAATTGAGTCTGCCATATTAGCACAGCAAAATCGTTATCCACACTTTTGGCTTCCTCTCACTGATGAACATGTGGTAAAGAGCACACATTGAAATGTTATTGTGTTCTATCATCTTGAAATTAAATTTGCTGTCCTCCAGTTCGTTTTTGAAGGCATCCTCTTACTTATCAACACATGCTGGTCTAAACTGATCTGGATGCGACTTTACATAATAATATGAGTAAACTTTCAGCAAACAGAAGAGATCGATTCCTGAAAAGCTGGATCATAAGTTACGAGAACAGAGTACTTTAATATATATGCTTTACCCAACGTCACTAAATTCACCAAGACATAAAGAAATGCAGGCACTGCACTTTTAAGGAACGGATTGCGCACATTTATCAACGCATTGAAGACGATGTAGTAAGATATCATATGAATGATGAACATGGCCATCCAAATGAAAACGATCTTTAAGATCTTCTAGAAAGAATTTTATAGGAATTGGAGGAGCAGGAAGTATTTTTCTCACCGTCATAACAGAGATCAGCAGGATAACTGCAGCTGCGATCATCAGTGCTATATGAAATACATTGAACCATTTCGCATATACATCAGTTTTGAATGCTGTTGTATGGGGTGACATATTGCTCTCAAAATTATATTTTCTTACTTTTCCAACTCACTCTTCTTGTATATAACCTCATCAACAGTGGTGCCTGCGTTAAGGAATCCGAAAAACAAGGTGTAGAATGAAATTATGATGCATCCAGAAGTCAGCGAGATGCAAAAGCAAAATTCTTGTCTGACCAGCTTTCTTAAAAATGGCATCAAAAATATGAAAAATACGTTGCTATAAATTTTCAAAATACAGTTCCATGTTTGACAAATAATGCCAACCACTTTAAACTGTAAAACATCTTAAACTTTCACTTTCTCCACTTCAGCAGGCGCAACTGAACTGCTGCACATTCCATGGTTTTAGGTCACTGCAGTCTTTTTTCAACAAAGTTTCGAGCGACCTCGACCTCCCCCGGAAACTTTAGCTTTTCAGAAAAGTTAGACAGAGTCCCTTGGTCCCTGGTCCTTATTTTTGTGCACATTATCCACTGAGTGAAGTCAAACTGCTGCCTTTTTCCTTGCCTAATGCGTTAATTGAAAGCAGCAGCCGTCTAAAAATTATGCTTTCAATAGACTGGAAAATAGAGGAGAATTGGTAGGGTTTGGGATTAATAAAGAAAATATGTAGAGGATTTATATTGGCAAGAGTTTACTAACAAAAATGTAGCTCATAACTTTAGTTTAACCAGTACTTCAATGGCAAAATTTGTTCCGAGGGGAATTCAGCGAGCTTAACTTCTATAAATTGCCAATTAACCGCCAATTATAAAAGATTTTGTTAACAAACAAGAACTGATTAGGTGGCTCAATGGCAATATTTCATGGAAAAGATGAAGCATAATGAGACATAATATTGTCTTGGTGGTTTACTAATGAGGCTAATCAGCTTAGTGAATTGTTTTCCCAGACTTGATTATCTTGCTGCACCATATGGTTGCTTTATTTGTGATTGATTGCAGCATCAATTTATTTGTCATCAATACCAACATGTTGGTGCTGATGGCCCATTAAATGTCAGGGAAAAGAAAAAACAAAAAGTAGAGTAAGCTAAAAAAAGGCCATGTCACATATCATAAGCCCCGCTCCGAGTTCCTAGCCAATACACAGATCGAAGGAATCTCCTTCAGCCACTTCCAGCAGCCACTGGCAGCTCATCTATCATCATTGCCACGAGTCCTTTCTATCCGGGATGCTTTTACAGAGTCCTGTATCCTCTCTGCCCTCGTTTGACGCCCTGACACTCTGACACCCCATCCCTGGCGTATTTATAGCATCTTAATTGAATTTCAATTTTCAATTTCGCTTTTAATTGAATTCAATGAAAAAGTGTCGATGAGACGGTATTCAGCATGGTCCCATCCCCATCCATCCCCGTTTATCCTTACCCCCAAAACCCCATCCCACCCCAATCCCCTGCACTTGTTGTTGATGCTGTTTATTCAGCTGCCACTTGAGCACCGCCTGGCTGCCTCTTGATGGCGCCATTCACGCCACAAAGCTTCCCACTGAGCTCCCAGCACTGAGAAAAAGTCCGTGCGTCTGTGGACATTAAATATTGAAACAAACAGCCTGTTAGGTACATAAACGCGGAGTCCGTAAAAAATTAGAGAAAACTAAATAAAAGGATGAAAATGTAATATTAAACAATGGCATAATTTCAAATTAAGTGTAAGAATTAGTTTTTTCTGTGTACACCTAGAAACTAATCATCCTATCCACAGCAACACTCACCTGGTTAAGAAAATAATTATACTCGTTCCTCGTAGAGCAGAAGGGTATACTGTATTCGTTGAATAGTACTAAACATGCCGAGAAAATCTGGCCTTGTCCGTTTGTCCGTCCGTCCGTATAAACGTAAACGTCCCCGTATAACGTAAAATTCTGTTACTCCCACCAATAACTATTTTTACTATATATACTATTTACTATATTTACTATTTTCTTGCCAACTTCTATGGATATGGCAAGCAAATGTTCTCACTAACATTAGCTGAGGTATCTGATAGTCGAGAAAGTATACTATATCGTTTCCCTTGTTTTATTTTGAACATAACGTTATTATAGTTACTATTAATAATTATAGTTATTATTTATTAATAATATTTAATAGAAAAGTATTTCACTCCTTTGGAAAAAGGCCTTTCTTTTTTGCTAGTGCACATTTAGGTTTACTAAAACGACCAACAATTGGCTTGATGTGATTGCGCTCATATTTTGCACTCTGATTGGTTTGTGATTGACTGAAAAGTTGTAAATTGATTCGACTGTGGGCAAGTGTGTACCAATGCATGATAAACAAGCAAATTTCGCTGGTTAGTGGGTTCAGCAATAAAGCACCAGATTGTTGATCCCCACACTTTAGGAGCGATAATTGCGGTCGGTGGTGTTTCATGTTTTACAACGATAATTTAATCACAGAACTTGTAGTGATAGAGGAAAAGGCTCTAACGTTTTTTTACCAGGCAGCACCTTAAATTTCCATTAAGAATTCCCGAATAATGTCAACATGTGCCACATACATCATAATGCCGTTGGAAAAAAATCTGTCACCACCGAAGCGAATCAGACGAATAGAAATTCAAATGAATGCAACTTGCATGCGAAATGAGAATTCCGTGCACCCACCTCTGTAAAATAGCACAGCATCATCTGCAATTTGTATCTGTATCTGGGTATCTGCACGTTGAATCTGCATTTTGCTGCCGGTCTGGCTTATTATGCGACCACCATTCCTGGGTGCCATCTGTTTATGAGTCGGCATTCATCATCGTGTCATCGTATGTGAATATGGGGCTCAGCCTATATGAGATTTGTGCCACTCAACACAAGACGAAATATGCCAACAATAGACCCTTTTCCGAAATTTGCATTCTGGGGTTGAAGGTGACAACAGCTCAGCGTCTCCCCCCTGTTCTTCCACTCCGGGAAAATTGGCCCCAAAGAAAAGCCGAGCAAAAATATCAACCAGCAAAAAGATGAATGCAAATTACTCTGACAGTAAATCGGCGCCCGGAGCAATGTCAGCGTTTTATTGCTAAGATATGCACATTACAGTCCCAGATTTGAGGGATGTAGATCTTGATAGCTCTGATCTGGGGAAACTCCACTTTGCTTAGATAAAATATATAGTCGCCTAATAGAAAATTGATGGGGAATCGCTCCAAATTCAATTTGTATGCCATCAAGAGATAGTTCCTAATCGATGTGCAAGTTGAGTGGGTAGTGGGATGAAAGGTGTCCTTCTGACAGGTTCTGTAATATTAAGTCATCTGTGCAATCGATTATTTCCTTTAGCAATATTTATGCGATTATTTACTATTTTTCCTAAAATAGAGTAAGGAAACTAAAAGAGGACAACCCACTGGAGACCACACACCATTTGGTCATTGCGAAAATTGAAACCTTACCCGTTTTGTGTCGTATAGTTGATTGGCCTTAGAACCGAAATAAAGGAACAAGAAGCCGAAACACACATGCGAAAAACAGGCAACCAACGCAACTAAACGATACCTCGTACTTCTTACACAAAAAACGGGGACCATTTCAATGTATTAAATCGCGCAATGATTTAAATAAAGTTGGAAGTACTCTATCTTCTCAAACTTAAATATGGAAAATATTCCACTAAAAATGTAATATACCCGTTTTTCGCAATGACTACCCTGCAAAAAAAGTGTCAAGTCAAGCGAATGGACAAAGAATGGCTAAAAGAGCTGGCTGGAAAATAAGTTCTCGATGTCAGCGGCAGAATGTTGAGTTGACCGGCTACGTCTTTTGTTTTAGCCACGACATTATTTACGAGCATCGTGCCAGCGACACGCACGGAAAACCAAATAGCCAGCTGCGTTCCCGGCCATAAGGACAGAATGCAGGAAAATAGGAGAATAGGGAGTACGTGCCCCACGGGACGACTTCGTTGGCACGTCTATTACCTTAAGAGTCTGTTGCCAATTTGGATTCCTCTTGCTTTTTTCTTGCTACCACATGGCTGACTTTCTTCGCATCGACTGCACCTTGATTAATGCGCTGCCAGGACACGGCATCCTTTCAGTTTCGCCATTAGCAAATGCTGTGGCTACAGGCATTTCCTTTGTTTTCGTTTCCGTTGTTAAATTGTCACCGATTTGTTCGGATGTGGCTTATTTCATCTGCCCAATGGACTATTATTTATTCGACCCAGGTGTTGGCGGTTCGTGGCAGGGAAGTTGATGGTGATGAAAGTGAGATGAAACTGTTGAATAAGCTGTGATAAAAGCATTTAAATAAATTAAAGAGGAAGCTGCGTTTGTATATTCATTAACCGAACGGTTACAGTCACTATCATTTGATCAGATTTTCATAGAAATAGGAATGCATTGACAAAAATTAAATCAGAATTTATTTACAAAAGTAATCGAAAATAATGTAGAAAATTCGGCCAGACTTTGTTTTACACCACAGGAAAGTGTGGTGCTACAGACATATTTTCCCACACGACCCACATGGGTTTCCCTAATTTGTGCGAATGGCTGTCTCGGGAAAACATAAAACCCCATCAAATATGTGTTCGTTTTGAATGGGCCATAAAATCAAAGTGAAAACAAGCAAATCGCCCATCGCGTAGATCTTCTGACTGAGCCCCAGAAAATGTGGCTCCAACGGGAATCCACTCCAAGGCCTCGCGCTGAAACAACCAACTTTGGAATACTTGTGGAAGGACATGGAACCCGTGCTTGTGCCCTGGTGTCTGCCATTTGCCACCTGCTTGCCATGCGGCGCACGATTCAGCGCAAAAAGCTTGTAATTCCTGTCTCAGCCCGAAGGATGTAATTTGCAATGTTGCAGCAGGTGGCAGCGGTTGCAGCTTGGAGTGGCATGACATGGAGTCAGGGTGGGCGGCAATTGCAGCCGCTGCAGCGTGCATTTTGTTGCATTTAATGTTGTCGGCCTGGGCCAACGGGTCGTATGTGCAATATTTTTCGCAACTCCAATGCCTCCGGCCAATGGTGTTGCATACTTTCAGGCTGCCTGTTAGCCAAGGAAGAAAATATTTTCCGAATTTCAGTACAGCAGCTGGGCCAAATGCTTGCTAAATAAATGAAAACTGGCAGGAGCTAACGAGCCAGAGAAAAAATAAATTATCACGAAGCATATATGCAGCTAAAAACTCTAAAAGAGATTTAAGTTTAAGGCAGAGCTGCACACTCACAAGTAAAAATATATTTCTGTGTCTGAAAACTCTGCAATTTCAATTAACA